GGGGGCGGTGGGGAGGGAGCAAAGTGGCCAGCCACAGGGGATCTGTGGAGAGGCCACAGGAGCACCTGCTAAGGGCCTGGGAGCCTTGGGCTCTGGCCTCCTTAAAGACCTTGGTTAGGGAGCTGGGCCCTGCCACCTGGGGGCACATCCAGGATTCGGCCTGGCGCCTGCATCGCCCAATGACCCCGGGGACACAACCTCCCTGAGTGCGCACACCCAGGGCATTGTCAGAGAAGTGGGTGCAGTCTTGGCCCTGATGGCGTCTGCCCTGAAGATTGAAAGGCAGGACAGGACTGCATCACCCAGGGCCAGAGCTGACCTGGAAATGCATCCCCCACCCCTGGGGGCTGGCCAGGCTAGGCCAAGTCCCCAGGGTCAGCTCAGCCCTGAGCAGGGCGGGTGGAGGGTAGGGGCGGTGCCAGAGCCTGGCCCCAGGTGGCAGGAGTGGGCGGGCACCTGCTGGGCTCTGCCTGTGTGCCAGGCTCACTCGCCCATCACTTAGGCTTCAGTCACTTTGTCATCATTTCTCCCGCGCCGTCACCGCCCAAGGTAAGTCTGATGAACTGGTCCCTGAGGCTGAGCAGGGAACTGAAGCCCAGGGTTCTGAGACTTGCCCAGGTCCCACTGGCTGACCTGGACAGACCCAACCAGAGACGAGATGCCCCTGCCTGTCTTCCGGCGGAGGACAGCCACCCTGAGTGTCCCAAGGGACCAGGCCTGGTGGGGAGGACCCCTGTGTGCAGGCGGGTGGGGCAGAGCAGCCTACAGGAAGGGGAGCCAGGTCCCTCCTCCCCCCCCCACCATGATCAACACTCGCCGCCCCCCAGTGCCCGCCAAGCACTGTGTTGGGGGCGGGCGGGCTGTGGGGTGGGCAGAGTGCGTGGGACTGAGGCCGGGCTCAGCAGCACCTTCACACAGGTAGGGCCAGACGGAGGAGGGGGACGTGGACAGGGACACTGCAGTCCCCCAACAGGGATGCCCCCCATGTCTGTCCACGAGAGCCTGCTGTGGGGGTTGGGGTGCTGGAATTTGGGGTCTCTGGGCGAGGAGCCTGCAAAGCCCTCCTGACTGCCCCAGAGATCCCCTGCTCCCCAGGCTCTCATCCTCACTCCTGGCTGACCACCCCATGACACCCCCCCGCCCTCCTCCCCTCGTCTGTGCACTCTCCCCAATCACAAGGACCAGGACACACACACACACACACACACACACACGTCTCCATGGAGACAGCCTGAGGCCGCAGGGTCACACTCCTGTCAGCCTGCGGACCCCCTGCCCACCCTCCCAATCAAGAAAGCCAGGCCCTTGGCTCCCAGCCTCAGTGATGGGGGTAGTGGCGGGGGGAGTAGGGGCCCCTGGAGTGAGCTGGTGGGGGTGGGACTTACAGAGCAACTTGCCCTCATGTCCCCCCAACCGCTGGATCTCCTGAGGCCTCAGCCTGTGACTTTGCCAGGTTGGTTCACAAGCAGAAACTGGGCCGATGTTTGTGAAGTTCCAGGGGCGACATTGGGCTGCAGGAGGCTGCAGCTGTTCTGAGTCCTGACCTCCAAGATCCTCAGCACCCCAACCCCCAGCCAGAGATGCAAAATGCAGTCAAATCCTCCAGCCCCAGGATTAACGTGCCCGCAGGGGGGGCTTTGTCCATGCAAAGTAGGGGAAGGCACAGGCAGGGTCCTGCCCTTTGCATGGTCTGGGCTCCACCTCTGCCACCAGGAGTGGGAAGCGGGCCTCACAGGGGGTGGGGCTGGTGTGGGCTCTTGGGAGCCTGTCTTTGCTGTGTGCCGGTCCTGCTATCTTCGTCTCCAACCCAGAGGCCCAGCCATGGTGAGGCTTTGATTGGGTGGGGAGGCAGAGCTAAGGGTGGAAAGTTTCCTCTGCAGCAAATTAGCCCCTGGGGGCAGGGCAGTCTAATGGAACCTCATTAGTGGAGCCTCAGACCCAGGCCCTGCACCCCAGTACTGCCTGTGTGGATCTGGGGAAGCCTGTGGGGCTGGTAGTGCAGCCCCTGGGGACCTCCCCAGGCAGTGGGTTGTCAATGTGCAAGGACAGGGCTCCCTCCTCTCGTGTGGGGGTCTCATCGGTGGGAGGGACCGTCCGGGGGCTACTGCAGGTTAGAATCTCCATTGCTTCTTCCTGTCCTCCAGCCCCAGGCTGGCCACTTCCGAAGCCCCCGACCCCATGGAGGAGTGGGACGTGCCCCAGATGAAGAAGGAGGTTGAGAGCCTCAAGTACCAGCTGGCCTTCAAAAGGGAGATGTCATCCAAGAGCATCCCTGAGTGAGTCCCCCGGACCCCAGAGCCTCAGCCTCAGCCTCACCCCACCCAGAGCCAGCTGTTGATTTGCATCTCATTTCCCTATCCTGTGCTCATTTGCATAAGCTATGATCAGACCCTCATGTGTAACACTGGGCAGCACTTGAGGGGCCAGGTGCCCACCTGCTCACCCCAATCTCCCCACCCACAGGCTCCTCAAGTGGATCGAGGAGGGGATCCCCAAAGACCCCTTCCTGAACCCTGACCTCATGAAGAACAACCCGTGGGTGGAGAAGGGCAAGTGTGCCATCCTGTGAGACCCCCGGCGCATGCCTTGGTGAAGAGGACAACTTGGTAAAGGTGTGACTTTTATAAAGACTTCCCGGTGCTCCCAGAACGCCTTTCCTTCCCCTCTTCTCCTAAACTCTAAGGGGCCCCATGAGGCTGCAACCAGGGGAACAACGGGCAGGGCGAACCCCCTGAACCTGTCCCCAAGGCCCCCTGTCCTTGGACTTTCCAGTGAGCTGACAGCAGCTGGGCCTTGGCTCCCTTGTCGCCGACTTTCCGTTCTCAGTGAGCCGAGAGCCCTGCCTAGGCGCCCTCCTGTTGCTTCTTAAGTCCTACGCCATTCCTGTGTCACTGTCCCCAGCTTTAATAATGTCCTCTCAAAATCCAAATAAAAAATAACAGAGAAAGCAACACCAAGGGGTCCAGTGTGGATCTGGGGACATCCAGCATGACCTTGGGGTGCCTGGTGTCGATCTGGGTGTCAGTCATGAACACTGGGGCATGCGGTGTAAATCAGAGCATCAGCACGGGGTATCCATGGAGGAGTGGGGTGTCTGGTGTGAACCGGCTACAGCAGGTCCCTGATGTGCAGACTGCGGCGCACAGCGTTGGAGACGCCCTCCTTGAAGCGGAACCAGACGTCGCTCCTGCCCACCGCAGTGCCCATGCGCTGCTCAATCGCGTCCATCTCAGGGGCTGTGTTCTCTGTGGGGGCCACAGGGTTGGTCCTCAGCCCGACGCCAGCCCCCCCCTCCACAGCTCCCACACCCACACACCTGCGCTCAGGGCTGCTGCTCTCCTGATGACCACGCGGCCGAAGAAATCCCTCTCCGTCTGCAGGGGGGGCGGTGGTCAGATTCACGGACAGACACATCCGGGACACTCCCTGCCGTGAGGGAAAACTCTCCCCGGGAGGATGGGCCTCGTGGCACCTCTGAACCGTGGCCCACGGCCGAGGAGTAGACACCTCTCCCAGCCCCTCCCCTCACCCTGTACTGACCCACTCAGCAAGTGTCCCCTCTGCCCCTTACCGCCCTCACAGTTGCCTGGTCCCTGTCAGGGCCAGGGCAGGAGGTGCCAACAGAACCCACCCTCCTGCCCAAGTGGGAACTGAGCCCAGGTGAAACCCGACCCTGCTGAGCAGCAGGGACTGGACCGTTAGGTGGGTCCCTCAGAGCTCAGAGCCAGCCTGTACCAAGGTAACACAGCCCCACCCCCGTGCCCCCTTCCAGCCCCCAAACCTGGTCCTCCAGGGCTGCTCTCTTCAGGATGCGCTCCAGGCGCTGCTCATGGCTGCGTGGGGTGGGTGGCTGTGCCCCTTTCCCCCCAGCAGCCCCCTGTGGGCCCTTGGCCTTGGGGGGACTGCCATCCACCTGCAGGAAGTGGATGTGATGAGAGCTGACTGGGCAGGACCATTCCAAGGGCAGGATCCACCCTACGAGGCCCTGCTCTGCCCCAAGCCAGAGGTGGGCTCACCTGGGGGCTGTCCCCATCTCGGGCCAAGGCCTCTGCCCGCCGCATCTTCTCCATTTCAATCTCACGGGCAATAAGCTGCTTGGCCTGGTAGGTGAGGGGTTTTCGGGCAGGCAGTTCAGGGAAGCGGCAGACCTCCTCCAAGTTCCTGCTCGGGGAGGGGGGGGGAGGGGCAAGACAGTCGGGCACCTGCTCAGTAGTGATAGCAGCAGAGGCACCCACCACAATGACTCCAAATGCCAGAACGAGAAAGCTGCAGGACAGGGACCTCCCTAGGGCTACAAAGGGAGGGAATGAGACGTGGCAGGGCTGGGGCTCAGGCTGGGCTTCGTGCTCAGAAACCGCCATTACTGCCTCCTTGCCATCGGCACAGAGAAAACACCTGCATCCCAGACACTGGGGCCCTGACTGGGCAGCAGGACCCTAGGGCCCGCGCTCCATCCCCACAGCCATCTCAGGACAGGGGAACAGCCCTAGGGAGCTCGAGGAACCCCTGGTGGGCTCCTGGGGAACACTGGGGCAGAGAGGTTCTGTAGTAAAAGCCTCAGGTCCTGGGGCTACCTATGCCCAACCTGGGGGCCCACATCACAGTCACTAGCTAGAACCGACACTCCCGCCAACCTCTGACAAATGGGAAACTGAGACTCACGCCTCACCAAGGCCATGCTTTTCCACTCCCGGCCCAGCCCCCCACCACCCTCAATCCAGGTGCTGCAGACTCACGGCTCCAGCCTGTAGACATACTGCCCGTCAGGCGTGCGCTCCTGGCGGTAGGTTAGGCTGTAGGCAAGCATGGTGCCCACTAGGCTGCTCAACTGGAGCTTCTCACGCGTGCTGTACAGCTGCGTGCTCACCTGCGGGCAGGCAGGTAGGTAACAGGTAGGAACACTGAGCACAGCCAGGAACCCAGTCCGGCCGGAAGCCGCACCCTCCTTCTGGGTGAGGCACTCACAGGGCGAAGCTTAGGCACGAGGATGTCCAGGAGCGGGCAGAGGGTGTCCAAGACGAGGGCCTGGGGCGCTGTTTGGCTGCGAGTGGCCGGAGCAATACCTGACACCAGGGTCTGGATCAGGTTCTGCACCTGACTTGTCCGGTTCTGGGCCTGGGGTGGAGGGTAAACCAGGACCAGGTCAGCCAGGACCCCCCAGGATCCCAGGCCTAGACAGGGGCGAGGGGCAGGGTGCAGGGCACACCTCCTGCTGGCTACTCGGGAAGGCGATCCTGGGCACATGGCTGGAGGCGAACAGCAAGTGGAAGGCCACAAGCAGGAAGGGCTGGTAGCGCAGCAACTGGAAGCTCTGGCTGTGGTGGGCGGCCTGGCCCAGCATGTCCTCAAAGGCTAGCCAGTCGAGGGCCGTACACACGGTGCCCAGGCTGGAGTCCCGCAGCCGCAGCCGCAGGAAGTTGTCAAACAGGCCCTGTGAGTAGTGGGTCCCTGAGCCCCTCCAGCATCATGACCCCCCACAGCACAAGGGACCCTTCACTGCCCATCTGCCCTGCCAAGTCCGGGGACTCAGGATAGCACCTGAGTAGCCACATGTGAGTGCGCACATGGCCCTGAGGGGTGCCAGGAGGCCTACCTGCTGCCCCCACTCGGGTTTGACCAAGATCCTGGGATGTGCAGGAAAGAACCCCCACCCCCACCCCTCCCTTAAGGGAGTCTGTCCATCAGAATTGAGGCAGAGCCCCACTCTCCTTCTACGTAGACGTCCCCTCCCCTCCCGCACTTGCTCTGCCCTCTGCAACCATGGGTTTCTGGATCTACACGGATCCCTAACCACTAACCCAAAGAGGCTTACTTAGGGAGACAGCTTAGGCCGGGCTTTCAAGGTTAGGGGTGCATCTCTGCCACCTGCTCAGGCCAAAATCCCTACCTGCTCTCTAATCCACGTCCCCATTCCCACAGCTCATGTCCAGAATCAAGTCTACCCGCCCCCCGCCACTGGATCAGCCTCCCCAGCTACTGCCACACTGCCCCTCCCATCTGGTAGCCAGTGATCCCATCAATCAAAACAAGCCCCCATCCCCACACCCAGCCCCCTGCCATGCTGGTGCCCATCCCCCTCCTAGCACCAGCCTCTCCTCTGGCCTCTGTGCTGCTCATGTTCCCGAGGCCTCTCTGATGCCCTGTCTGCCCCACCTCATTCCCATCCCACCTGCTTCTTCTAGAGCCTGGCACTATCTGAACTGCCTCCTGTTCATTGTCTGGGGACAAGGGAGCACCCCCAACACGGCACCCTGGAAAAAGGTTCAGGGAGCGTGCAGTTACCTGGACGACCTTCTCATGCTCGCCCGAGGAGGCAGCCACATGCAGGATATGGTAGAACCGCTGTGCCGCCATGGTCAGGGGTGCCTCGGCAGCCCGGTGCCCCAACCCCGTGAGCCCATCGCCCAGCAGAAGCGTGTGGGTGGGCAGAGTTGGGTCCTGGCCCACACGTCGCCTGCAGAAGGGTTGCTGAAACTGGAGTGGAGCCCCCACCCACTTTATTCCTGTGGGCAGCACCCTCCCGACTCGAGGCAGCCCCAAAGAGGCGGCAGTGAGGGAGGCTGAGGCACAGCCTTGAAAGCAGGGCCCAAGCAGCCTTGGGTTTCTGTTCGCAGAACGGGGGGGGGGGGGCTGCACACGCAGGGTTTATGTCCAGGGCTGGGGGCACCATAGGCATCCAGGCTGAGCCTGGCCCGCCCACTCTTTCTGCCCGCCCCATCTACCTCTGGGCCCGGGGCAGCTGGAAGACCTCCTGCCACACGGAGAAGAGCCCCTTGCGCTGGTCCTTGAGGCCGACTCGCGTGGTCTGCACAGCCTGAACGCTCAGCTCCCGCTGGCCTCGCCCATGCAGGAACTGGACACAGGGGTGGGGGTTGAGAGGTAGCTGCCCCCTGTCCCACGCCCCCACAGCCAGCTTCCGCCCCGCCCACCTGCAGGGTGTTGATGCAGGCTCGGATGTCATTGTCTGTCTTCTCGCAGAGGGCTGCTAGGGCACCTGGGTCGGCCTGCAGGCCCTGCCGGAGGGAGATCTGCAGGAGGCAAGAGCATGGCTATCCATCCCCCTCTCAGAGCTCCACCCTGTAGCCACCTCCTCCCTAGAAACAGGTGAGTAGCTGCTCTCATCCTACAGGAGACAAAAACTACAGATCCTGTGACTGATCTCGGTCCCCACTAGGGACCACGCACCGCCAGAGATCAAAGTGAACCAGTCACCCTCACCCCAGGACCTGGGATGGGAGGAAGGGAGTGGCAACAGCAGAGAGGGTAGTGCCCTGGATGGCAGAGGGGAGGGGTGTAGAGAGGTGGGGAGGGGAAGATGAGACCATGACAGGAGTCACGCCCACCCTGCCCTGTCGTCAGCCATGCAGCCCCAGCCCTGTGCCCCACCTCCGCACCCCCACTGACCTCCTGCAGCCGCTGTATGAGTCTGGAGGGTAGTGTAGGTGGGAAGTGGAGCAGGAAAGCCTGCTGCTTCAGCTGTCGCAGAGAGGGCGCGAACCTGCAGACGGGCACAGGGTGTGGGGGGAACCCTCATGCCAAATCCCGGCCTCAAATCCACTGGGCGGCCAGGTGGGGGCTAGGATGTGCCAGCCCAGGGGCCCTCTGCCCTCCTGTGAAAGCCCCGCCCAGTGGAGCACCCTCAGGCCCTCACCTTCAGAACCCTGCCCCACCCTACTCACTGGTCATTACAGATGCAGATGACTGGCCTCATCAAGAGACCCCCCTCTGCCCGCGGCCGCCGCCCCTCACCCGCCAACGTGGCCCGGCCCCCCAGCTCTGCCTCCTTCGGGCCCTTGCGGTCAATGATGCTGAGGAGCACGTTGATGGCAGCCTGTTTGCCCACTGGCCAGGCACCCAGGAGGCCCACCGTGGGGGCCCCATCGATCTCATCGATAACCAGGCAGTTGGGCTTCCCACCAATGCCCAGCACCGACTCCATCTGCGTGGCCGC